CAAGGTAGCCCAACTAATCAATCAATAATTGGCTGATATCATGATTGATTGCCTTCTTCAAGTATTGTAGCAAAAATTGGCAATTATAAAAAGTTTAGTTGCAGAACTTCAAGTAGATGATCACAATTATCCACGATAATATACTAGAAAATGTTACAAAGTCCCGAGCTTTCACAAATTTACAAAGAGACGAAGAAAGAAACCCAAAGATAGACTTACTGAACAATAGGCTCACTATACAGACATACAGGGAAAGAGTCATAAAAGCTGGATATAGAAAGATATATAGAGAGCTTCAAATATTAAGTTGAAGAAAGATAGAGGCAAATAGTCAGATATAGAGATGTAAAGAGATTGCGAGATGAAGATAGAGCGTCAAAGAAATGAAATGCCAGAGATGAACATATACTTAGGTATGAGAGACTGAGAGAGAGATAGATAGAGAGAGAGAGAGATAGAGATAGAGAGTGAGACGGAGAGCGATAGGGATTTGAGAGTAAGCAAGCCAGAAAAATAGAGAGACAAATGCAGAGAATAGACAACTGGATAGAGAGACTGATAGTGAAAAGAGAAAGTGAGGCAGAGATACATACACAGATTGAAAGGGAATTCAGAGTAAACTGGATACAGAACTAGGGAGACAAAAACAGAGATAATAGACAACAAGATAGAGAGAGATATATAGTTATAGAGGGACAGAGAGAGATAAAGGCAAGTAGAGACAAAGCGATAGCGCTAGAAACGACACAGAGAACTCTAGAGAAAAACAAGTAACAAAGCTCTAGTCGAGACTGTTCGACTAGGCGATACTCTGAACCCTCTAATCTGATATTCTATTCTAATTACAACAAAAATCGAAATTATATAAAATACATATAAGTCTACATTTAAAATTTGGAAGCTCTAATAATTATATAAATAGCTTTCGATAAGGTTTTTAATCGATAATAAAATATCGGGACTAGTTATCGATATATAACGAAAAACTCGATATGCGCGTGATATACAAGGACCTAGGAAAAACAATTTCAAGTCTTTAGCTCTTATATCTTCTGAGATCGACGCGTTAATACATACGGACAGACAGACGAACAGGGCCAAATCGACTTAGCTCGTCGCCTTGATCAAGAATATACATACATACATACATACATACTTTTAACAAAACCATTATAGCCTGATTTCCCATTTTCAATGGGTTCAGGGTATAAAAAGTTGGAGGAATTAAGAATACGAAGAGCAAAGAGATTGTTAAACTTCAATACAGAGGTCGTCTCATAATTTATTGTCCATTAAAGTTGATTTTCTCTGACTCTTACGTGCTCGCTAAGAAAATTACATTATTCCAAATAAGTAAAAGTATTTTTATAGCTGTCAGTGAGTTGGCATCTTCAGCAAATCGAACATCTACTCGCATAAATAAGAAGTGAGTCGCTCAACGCGGATATGAATTCCGCTCTGTCGCAGCTGCCAAGTGACCCAAATCGACGCTTTCTGCTGTCTGTCTGTCTGGGCTTTGCAGCTGCCAGCCCAGGTGTCGGCACGGCGCGCACCTTGACTGAGCGTGTCGCATTAATCTCTGTTGACTGGAGTGACATTCGCGCTTTCCTGCACAGCTGAGCTGAAGCTCCCCTAGGCCGCTAATTGATACGCCGTCATTCCGCGTAAACGGCCCATTTAATAATCAAAGCTATTTGTAGCAGCTAAGCTCTATCTTTATCTACTCTCTCTCTCTCTCTCTCTCTCTCTC